GGTTACTTGGCATTCTGTATGCTTCGGTTACCTGAATGTCAGATTGTTTCCTCATATTTGGGAAATTTTCTGCTATTACTTCTGCCCATATTTTTTTTTAATGTCCTTTGAATTGACTTCGGGGCTGGAGAGATGGCTCAGTGGGATAAGTGCTTTCCTGGCAAGTGCAAGGACCTGAGTTCAATCCTCAGTTCCACCAAAAAAAAAAAAAGAAAATTGACTTGTTCTTTGTATTGACTTCTTCTTTCTCATTGATACCTATTAGTCTCACACTGTTCATCTTTGCATCATCTTGCAGGTGATGGATTATTCTTCCTGCATCCTCATTGTTTTAAGAGATCTTTTCTCACCTTTTCACTAGCTGCACCAGCATCTTCAGGATCTGAATCTCTGTCTTCACTTCACTTAAATGGTTTTGCAAGCTTGTGATTGAGATTTGAAGTTCCTCTATATCTCTTCGAGTCTGCTTCACATGATCTATTTCTTTCCTGTATTACCCATTCAAGGATTCTGTTATTTTTCTAATCTCCTCTATTTTTTTTTAATCAATGTCTTCTTTAGAAGCAGTTATAAATTCTTTTACTGCAGTGTTTTTTTCAGATTGGGTTTCCTCCCTATGTTTCTTTAGTTGATTCTTTACTTCAGATGCTGTCAGTTCCAAGAATTCTTTTTTATTTCAGAAAAGAATTCTGCTCTCAGTTCCTCTATAACTTTCTGCTGTTGCTTATTTACTATCGACGCTATTAATTCATATTTTTTAGCTGAGCTAGTAGAAAAGAATTCTGCTCTGAGTTCTTCTGTGACTTTCTGCTGTTGTTTATTTACTATCGATGCTATTAATTCATACATTTGAGCTGAACTAGGGTCCTCTGCACTTGTTCTGTGTGAGCCTTGGGTTTCCTCCATATGTTTCCACATTTGATTCTTTAGTGCAGATGCTCTTAATTCAGGGATTTCTTTTTTCATTTCCAATCTGAGTTCCTCTGTACCTTTTTGCAGTTGTTTCTTTATTTCAGAAGCCATTGATTCATTGATTTCAGCTGTGTGATTCCCAATTTGTTCTGTGTTAGTGTCCTCTGCACTTGTTATGGGTGGGCTTGGGT